AGGATTGAAAATATTTAGGCAAAAACTTACACACAAATACTCATAGCAGCACTATTCACAGTAGTGAACAGGTACAACCTCATGTCTATCAGCTCATGAATGGATAAACAGAATGTGGTATGTCCATACAGTAGAATATTTGTTTTATTTGGCTACAAAAGGAATGAAATACTGACATATGCTACAAACTGGTTGTTACAACATTGAAATCATGCTAAGTGAAGGAACCCAATCACAAAGGCCACATATTTTATGATTTTATTTACATGAAATGTCCAGAATAGGCAAATATATAAACAGAAAGTGGTTGTTTAGGGATATGACTGCTAAAGGAGCCAGAGTTTCTTTTGGAGATGATGAAAGTATTCTAAAATTGACTGTGGTAATGGGGGCATGTATCTACAAATATATTTTAAAACAATTCAGTTATATACTTTAAGTATGCATGAATTACATGAAGTGCAGTGGCATGATCTCAGCTCACTGCAAGCTCCATCTCCCAGGTTCAAGCAATTCTCCTGCCTCGACCTCCCTAGTAGCTGGGACTATCGGCACCTACCACCACTCCCAGCTAGTTTTTGTATTTTTAATAGGGACAGGATTTAGCCATGTTAGCCAGGCTGGTCTCAAACTCCTGATCTCAAGTGATCCATTTGCCTTGGCCTCCCAAAGTGCTGGAATTACAGACATGAGCCACTGTGCCCCGCCTACTATGTAAATTATATCTGAATAAAGCTGCTTAAAATAAAATAGAAAGGCTTGTAAAGGTCTCATAAAGACTGTTCTAGATGCCACTGTAGAAGTCCTGTCTATATTAGGCTCTGCCTTCACCTGTTGTTGTTCTTCCTCATATCCAAGGTCACATGAAGGCATCTCCTCTTGCAGCCTTCTTTACTTGCTGAATTCTTGTTTTTTCTTCAGTCAAGTTTTCATTCCCATTACTTACCCTAGACTTTCAGAATCAAGGCCTGGGGGTTTTTTTTTTTCTTCCCCATTTTTTTTAGCTTGTTCAAATTACTGATATTTTTCACCTTTTATCCTTCTGCCAAAAATCCTATACAAAAGTTGTTGTTTCTGTCTTACAGCCCCAGCTACTCTTTCAATTCTATGTTTAGTATATAATCTGTAAATAACCTATGTGTTATAGCCACATGTCTTTTTTGTATTTTTTATAGACAGAGTCTCATTCTGTCACCCAGGCTGGAGTGCAGTGGCAGAATTTTGGCTCACTGCGACCCTTCTCTCCCGGATTCAAGTGATTCTCCTGCCTCAGCCTCCCGAGTAGCCGGGATTACAGGCACATGACACCATGCCCAGTTGATTTTTGCATTTTTAGTAGAGACAGAGTTTCACCATGTTGGCCAGGCTGGTCTTGAACTCCTGACCTCAAGTGATCTGTCCGCCTTTTCCTCCCAAAGTGCTGGGGAATTACAGGCATGAGCCGCCACACCTGGCCTATATATATCTTTTAAATTAAAAATTAAATTACTGTTGATGATTTTACAAACTTGACAGTGAAAATGCTGTTGGCTAAGAAACTTTAGGAGCTCTGGGTGAATGCAGGGTTAGTTAAATGTCCTGGCTTCAGAACTGTCATCTAGTCAGTCGTGGTTCATTTCATCTGGGCCCGGAATTCACATGAATTAACCTAGGGAGCCTAGTATTACTGTAAACAGGAAGTTAGGAATGGTAGCTCTTGGTTAGATGACATTGACAAGTGGTGATTTAGTGCGCTGAAGAGAAAACTTTTAAAATAATTGACAGACTTCTCTTCCTTGGCCTTCCTGTTGACATTACTTATCTCATTATCTTAATAAGGTTCATTGCTAGTATTCACATCTCTCTTTCAATACATTTGTCATCAAAGGTCCCATTTTCTTGCCTTGAATATATACAGACTAAATGTCTGTCTCCCCCATTATTCCCTTCTTCCCTTTTCCTGAAGAACTTGGATCCTCCAATAATCTGTTACTGCTCCTCTGGAAACTCCTTTGCCTACTTTAAAATCCACTGGCTTCAGTTAATTGTATTGTTGGCTGCAAAGCAATGTACTACTTTGACTGTAGTTTGTAACTCTACTCCTGTGACTTAGTTTGCCTCTTTACCCCTAGCAAGATGGTATTTCTCACATCCTCTCTGTTATGTCTGCTCAGCCCCTTTTATTTTCTCATGCAGCCTGTGGCTGGAAATGACTTCTGTACTTGCCATGTTGTTGTTACAGTATCCCTGGTCAAAAGGTTAAGGAAAACCAGGAAATATTTACTCAAGTCTACCTTTTTATCTTAATATCTATTCTAATACGTCCTTTACTTCCTTCATGTATTTATGGAATACACATACTTTTTATTCATGTTATTAGCAAATGTGCAGCAGAGCATTAAATTAAAGGATGAATAATTAACAAATTGATGGATTTCCCAAAATACCCAGAGCTCTTTATTCATCTTCCTAAAGCAAATTGCTTTACAGGGCCAAGAGCAATTTGAGGCATAATGATACATAAAAGTTTTGTTGTTGTTTTTTTTTTCACTTGAGCAGAGTCTTGCTCTGTCACCCAGGCTGGAGTGCAGTGGTACACCCTTGGCTCACTGCGACCTCCTCCCGGATTCAAGAGATTCTCTTGCCTCAGCCTCCCAAGTAGCTGAGATTACAGGCACTACGATGCCTGGCTAATTTTTGTATTTTTAGAAGAGATGGGTTTGCCATGTTGGCCAGGCTGGTCTCGAACTCCTGACTTCAGGTGATTTACCCTCCTTGGCCTCCCAAAATGCTGGGATTATAGGCGTGAGCTATCGCACCCAGCCAACAAGTTCTTAATAAAGTCCTTTTATACTTTAATAGTGTAATTACTTAATTTTGGTTGTATTAGAAGAAAATCTTCAAATGGTATTTCAAGGCAGATTTTTTAGTTATGAAAATCAACATATCTACATAATTATCATTATAAAGGAATAGATACATATTGTAAACATTTTTTAATATATAAAAACTCAACTATAAGCCATTCAGCCTATTGACTTTTAATACATATTATTCAGTACTATTTTAATCTCTCTATACATAAATTAAAAGCAGATTTGTTTGTATATGACAAATACATTGTTACAGTCAGTAAAATCAATTCAGATTCTGTGACAAAGGAAAATGGCCGTAGTAGATTAGAATATAAGCTGGATAGTAGCTAGGAAAATAAGTCCATGTTAACTGAAGGATAACAAAAATGATATGTAAATAAATTACTAAATTTGATTTGCCATACTGTTTACTTGAGTTGAAAAATGATATAACAATGTAAAGACCTACTTACCTTACAAATACATCAAAAAATTTTCTGGGGTTCTAGGCTATAAAATTGCTTGTCAATGCAAATACAATGTAGTGGTTCTGTTTTTTTTCCTCCCTGAAAATGAAAATTACACAGAGTATTATAAATGCTTCTTTTTATTTTTTTATTATTATTATTTTTTTTGCTGCTTAACAGTATCTCTCATGCCAGTAGAGTTCTATATAATATCTAATGGTTAACAATATTTTAGAATGTAGTTTCATTTCCTTAACTAATCTCCTATTTAAGTTGTTTAGTTTTAGGTATTGTACACAAAGCTGTAATGGATGTTCTAAAAAAAGGCTTTGCATGCTTTTCTGCTTATTTTCTTAGGATAAATTTCTGGAAGTAACATTGTTGTGTGAAAGGTACATACATTTTTTTTTTTTAATGAAGGCAGGGTCTTACTCTTTCACCCAGGTTAGAGTACAGTGGTGAGATCATAGCTCACTATGGCCTCAAACTCCTGGGCTCAAGTGATCCTCCTGCCTCAGCCTCTTTAGTAGTTGGTATTACAGGCATACACTACCACACTTGGCTAATTTTAAAGTTTTTTTTTTTTGTAGAGACAGTCTCACTGTATTGCCCAGGCTGATCTCGAACTGCTGGGCCCAAGTGATCCCCCTGTTATGGCCTCCCAAAGTGTTGGCATTATAGGTGTGAGCCACTACACACAGCCAGTATATGCCTGCCTTTCTTCTTTTCTTTCCTCCTTTCCCTCTTTCCCTCTTTCTTTGTACAGGGACTCTGTCAGCCAGGCTGAAGTGCAGTGGTGCAATCATAGGTCACCCTAATAGCCTCCACCTCCTGGGCTCAAGTGATGCTCCTTCCTCATCCTCCCAAGTAGTTGGAATTACAATTGTATGCCACCATGCCTAGCTAGTTTTAGAACATTTTTGTAGCAATGGGGTCTTACTATGTTGTGCAGTCTGATCTCAAACTCCTGGCTTGAAGTGATTCTATTGTCTCAGTCTCCCAAAGTCCTGAAATTACAAGCATGAGCCACTATGCCCAGCCTAGTACATGCATGTTTAATTTTTTTTTTTTTTTTTTTTTTTTGAGGCAGAGTCTTTTTCTGTCACCCAGGCTGAAGTCCAGTGGTGTGATCTTGGCTCACTGTGATTTCCATTTCCTGGGTTTAGGAAATTCTCCTGTCTCAGTCTCCCAAGAAGCTGGGACTACAGGCCTGTGCCACCACACCTTGCTAATGTTTATATTTTTAGTAGTGATGGGGTTTTTCTGTGTCAGCCAGGCTGGTCTTGAACTTCTGATCTCTAGTGATCCATTCGCCTCTGCCTCCCAAAGTGCTGGGATTACGGGCATGCATGTTTAATTTGATTCTAGGCACTATGCTGCCCACCAGAAAGGAATAACAAATTTATAGTTACATAGAAGATAGGGTTAACTTGTGCCCAGTTCTGTTAATGAGACTCCCAGAAATACACAAAGCCACAGCAGTATTATGATGGACTTTATGTCTTAGATTTCACGTTAGAGGACTTGGGTTAGGTTCAACAGTGAGAGAAATGCTTATATTGGCAACTTGAATTGTATTATATTCATTTTCAAAATTAGTTCTTGCCTACCAGCAACTAAACTAAAATGGTATGAATATGTGTTGATATTTTGCTGTTTTGAGGGTTTGGGCATAGTATATGATCCTTTCTTTTCTTAGATGAGTGACCGAGGAGGTGGTGTCCCTTTGAGGAAAATTGACAGACTCTTCAACTACATGTATTCAACTGCACCCAGACCTCGTGTTGAGACTTCCCGGGCAGTGCCCCTGGTATGTGATCAAGAAGTAATGAAGTGTGTTTCTATTTATTGCCTTCAACATGCTCTTGCTGCCAAATAAGCCAGTTAAGCCATCATGTAGGGTACTCCACGAGGAAGAAGGAAGCTTTTCGAAACAAACACTTTCCCTAAATTTAAACAACCTTAGAATACTTTTTTTTTTCCAACTGAAATGGGCACAAGACAGAGTTTTGGAGTTCCTGTTACACAGTTTGATGGTGATACAGCATTAGTTTTCCTGTATAAAACCATATTTTGAAATGTAGTTAACCATATTATTTTTAATGGGGGAATACATTTTAGTAGTACTACATTTTAGTAGTATTTGGTCAACACTGAATTACTTTTTAGTGTTGACTTTTTTCTCAAGTATTTGTAATTAGAATGATCTCATATCCTAGACTGAAAAATAAGACTAAAATTCTAATCTGTTCAATCACCAACCTGAAATAGGCTTAAATTATAATTGCTTTGATCGTGTTTTTATTAATCTTAGTTCCACCTATTTTCAGGTGTAATCATTTCAACTTTTGAATTAACTCCATCCTTGTCTTTATGTTCCAACTCCCCCACAAAAAGTGTGTTGCCAAAATTTTGTCAGTAATTCTAGAAGAACTCTATTCTTCTAGGCTTGGAAACTTCTCTGACATTTCCAGTCGGGTTATACTGTAACATGATGGGGTATAGTATAAGATAGATCGATTTTAGACCCCTTCCTAGGAAGTTACTAGAAGGACTTTGTTCTGATAGTTTTACCTGATGCATAGCACAAGTCCTATAGCTACAGCTGTACTATGGTTGAAATGATTGCTCTACTAACATCCTTCTCCAATTGAGATACATGGCTTTCAGGAGTTGGCATCCATACGTCAAGGGGCAGACAATGTCAAATGATAAACATGAGAATCTTTTCACAAGTCTAATTTTATCCTAAAAAGGTAGAGGGAGAGAAGGGAGCTGCTGTTTTTGCAGTAAATGAATATTGTAGAATTTTTGTGGAGAGAGGCATAGTAAGCTATTCCAGACTCTGGATCTAAACTGTTTGGTTCCACTTCTGATACTGCTGCATTTCAGATGTGCAGCCTTGGGAAAATTATTAACCTCTGAATGCCACTGTTTCCCCAGCTAGAAAAATGGAGTTATTGTGAGGATTAAGTGAGTTGATATATGTAAAAATGCTCTTTATAGTGCCTGGCTCATTGTAAATGCCATGTGTTTGTTATTTTAGGATGTAAAATTTAAGTGAATTTTTAAGAAAATAGGAGGCTCGAGCTGGAACAGGCTCCCTCATATGTCTGCACACCCTTAACAAGGGTAAAACTGTTACTGATTTCTTGTAGAGCCTCCTTGCTGCTAACTTTGTAGATGGTCCCAGTCAGTAGGCAGTAGGGTAGCTAGAGAAAGGCCAGCTGATGCACAAAGGAGTGGCTTTCTTGTCCATCTGGTTACTGAGGGCTTCCTCCCTGTGGATGCCTTCTGGTTGGTCTTTGCACAGATAGGCTGTCTTCACACTGTAAGTCCAGAGAGGAACATCCACACATCTCTCTTTCAGACCTCCTTCTATCCTTTACCCAGTTTTGTTCTTTCCAAGTCCCTGACCAGCCAGCTACTTGTTTTGCCACTGCCCAGGCTGGAAAGGTTTACTTTCACCCTTGTCTTTCAGGTCTGGCCTCCAATCCCGAGAGGGATTATAGTAGGAAAACGGCAGCCTACTTTTGGATGGTGATAGCACACTGGGCAGATCCATCAGTGGACTAGGCCCATGTTGGCTTTTTTCCCTGATAACTAGTCATAGGGGAAGCTATGTGAGTCAGCCCATAGATGTGGTCAAGAGAGAGGCCATAGTAAAGCAGGTCGGATATTGTGGGAGCCTGAGCTACCTGCTCATACAGTTTTCTCGGGGCCACTTCTGAAACTAGTTAATGTATCAGTCAGTCATGATAGGAAAGTGGTAGCTCACTCAAATTATGAAGGAAGGCCTTTTTACAAACTAATTAGATACAGGTAAGGATAGCACAGGAACCCAGGGCTAGCAGTAGCAAAGCTGTCACCATCTTGGATCAGCAGGATGAGGAGAAAGCAAAGTTAGCAGAACCCAGAGGAAGGGAAAGCTCCAAAGTAGCTGCTTACTCTCCAGGGGCTTAGCCTGCTGGCTGCAACCTCAGGAAAGAACCAGAGGAATGAATACCCCACCTTGACTCCCTGTGAACTCCTGCTGGGTTCTCCAGGACATGCTGTAAGCAGAGGGCATGGGAAGCCAGTGACATAATCCATGTCAGCCTCTCAGGGCAGGGAGGTGTGGAAATGGGACAGTTCATTTGCATGGGCGAACAGAAGTCTGTTAGAAAAGTCAAGTTATAGTTGGTGGAGTTAGGTAAAGCTGGAGCCTGGATTTGTGAATAACATTCTGATTCTTGAGTCCACATAAGCTTGTAGTCAGCATGCTGTGTGGCATGTCATTAAACATATGACTTGGTGATAAAAACCATTTTCCCATTTATCTAGATGTTTTGTTTTATATTTAAGAATTGGTAGGATTTATTCAGATAAAGAGGCCATTCTGCATTTGAGGAACAAAATGAACAGACACAGAATGATATGTTTAAGGTGTAGTTCTGCTGGACTTGAAAGTGGGAGGCAGAGACCTGATCTTACCAGGTCTGGAAAGCTCTTTTTAGGAGCTTAGGTTTTGATTTCTAAGGCAGTGGGGTGGGGTAGTGGGAGTGGTGGTATGTTTTGAAGATTTTTAAATCTATGTAGATCTACTTTCTAATTAAGAAAGTAGATGTCTCCAGGCTGAGAGCATGGCTGGAAATTTATGGTATGAAGTCATGAGATATATCTATTAGGCTGCAACAAGGCATTTTCTATTCTTGCTCCTAAAAGAGATAACATGTTTTATATGATATTGTCAAAAGCAGTATTGGGATACCATTGAGCAGGCAGCAAGGAAAAGCAATATGCTTTTTCCAGACCAACCACAAGACACTTTATAGAAAGAATAAAGAGTTTTAAATGACCAACGGGAAGTCAGCTGATGTAGTGCTCAAGTAAACCTCAGCTTAATCATTATTAATTCTTGAATATTCATTATATTAAATATAATGCATCTCTCAGATGCAGACTCTGATAGCCCCAGGATACTCAATGGCATGTATCTTAATTAGAAAAGTATTTCAGTGTGTGGCTCTCTGAATAGAATTTTGTTTTTTTCATCAAACAGGCTGGTTTTGGTTATGGATTGCCCATATCACGTCTTTACGCACAATACTTCCAAGGAGACCTGAAGCTATATTCTCTAGAGGGTTACGGGACAGACGCAGTTATCTACATTAAGGTAATAGCTATAGTCTTCCTGATTTAATATTTCTTTTGATGACAAGAACAGATACCCATACTTAACTGTAATGAAACTTTACCACATGCTGTTTAAATAGAAAAAAAATTACGGACATTTTTGCCTGGTATCTCACCCATTTTGTCAAATGATTTCCTCAACTATGGGGAAAGAGAGTTGTATCCTGGAGTGATCAGGACTCTGGCTATTAATGGGAAAAAATTGGGTTAAAGTAGAGAATTGTAAGTTATATATCATACAAGTTTAATTTTAACATAAAACACCTGAATGAACATTGATACACCAAACATTTGTTGTACTTCCAAGAATTTTTCTTTGTATATGGGTCTGCAGATTAGAGTGTCACATTTGCCTTTTTTGCAAAAGCTGTACTTACAATGCGTCATTTTAGTTTATGTAGACAAACAAGTGCATACTCTTTTTGGACTTCTTTGCAGTCCTTTACAGATATCTTCTGACTGATTTGACAGCAAGTTTTATGTGACATTCCCTGATGAGTCTTTCGAAAACATTCATCTTAGTTTTCAAAGAAACATTCCCTTTTTTATTCTTTGCGTATGTAATTAAATTTTTGATTATGATGACAGAACAGTACAAACAGATTTGGGAACAAGCACAAGTGACTCTTGGTAAGCATATAGCTTACCTGGTGGAGGCAGAAGCATTTAGTCTTCTTGCCTGAAGTGTTCAATGCATTAAGGAGAGAACCATACATTTCACATGGTTGGAAAGACACTAGGTTCCATTGTTCCCTTTGATTGACTAATTGGCTATATATGCCTGATTTAGTGACTCTAGTTTCTTGTTCTGGCCACTAGATGGCATCTATTTTACAGGAAATGTTGAAGAATTTATATCGGAAAAAATAAACTTATCTGAAAAGGCTAAGTTCTTTCTAGATGGTATTTTTTATTTTTAACCATGTCAACTTTGAGGAAAAAGGGCAATATCAATGCAGTTCTTTTTCTCGAGATGGCGTCTCTCTCTGTCACTCAGTCTGGAGTGCAAAGGTGCAATCTTGGCTTGCTGCAACCTCTGCCTTCTGGGTTCAAGCGATTTTCCTGCTTCAGCCTCCCGAGCAGCTGGGATTACAGGTGCCCGACTGATTTTTGTAGTTTTAGTAGAGATGGGGTTTCCCCATGTTGGCCAGGCTGCTCTTGAACTCCTGACCTCAGGTGATCTGCTCACCTCGGCCTCCTAAAGTGCTGGGATTACAGGCATGAGCCACTGCTCCTGGCCCAATTCAATATTTTTATCTCAAAATGTAACATTTTGATCTAGCCCAGGGGTGTCCAATCTTTTGGCTTCCCTGGGCCACATTGGAAGAATACATGTCTAGGGCCACACGTAAAATCACTAATGATAGCTGATGAGGAAAAAAAATTGCAAAAAAAGAAAAATCTCATAATGTTTTAAGAAAGTTTACAGATGTTTTGAGCTTCATTCAAGGCCCATAGGCCGTGGATTGGACAAGCTCCATCTAGCCTATAGATCAAGAAATTCTGGAACATTTAGAGAGAATATGGACTTGAAAGGTTTTGAATTCTATCTTAGAGAAAATAGAAGACAAGAAGTCTTAGAGAATCATTAAAATTGTCAGCATCAAAGACCTTAGCATCATCAGAATGAGATTTTCTGGTTCGGGATGTTCTGCATCTTGGGAAATGCCTTTTGCCTGAGGTGGAAATTCTGAAAAATCCTAACTTGAAGAAGATAACCAGGAATGTAGATTATCTTTGTTTCCAGTGACTTATGGGAAGCTGAAGTAGAATGAGAAATTAATGGTAATAATATGTTGGAAACAATCATGCATGATGCAGAAATCTTGTGCACAGTGACTGAAATTGGAGGCTGGAAAAGACACAGGTTTTCAAACCCAGGACCAAGTAATGTTCATGCAAAAGCCAAGGCACCTTAGACATAGATTTATATTTATTGATAATGTTATAATGAGTTTTAAAATTTTTATTTATTTATTTATAGAGACAATGTCTTGCTTTGTTGCCAGGCTGGAGCACAGTGGTACAATCATAATTCACTACAGCCTTAAACCCCTGGGCTCAAGTGATCCTCCTCTCTCAGTCTCCCAAGTAGTTAGGACTATACCTGTGTGCCACCATGCCCAGCTGATATTTTAATTTTTTTGTAGAGACAGGATCTTGCTATGTTGCCCAGGCTGGTCTCCAACTCTCAAGCAATCTTTCTGCGTAAGCCTCTGGGATTATAGGCATAGCCACCATGCCTGGCTTGTGATGAGTTTTTTAAAGCACAGTGATTATACTGGAAAAAAAAAACAGTATTTCTTCTAAGAAAGAATAAAAATAGATTTCATTAACTGTATGTACATATATTAAGATACATATATCTATTTGCATGCTTTTACATTTAACCAACTTCTTCAGTTAGCCAACTCTGATCTGGGTCATATTTAGTGTCAAATTTCAATTCAGCACCCTCCAGGATGGCTGGGATATTAATGTAAGCAGCAAATTCAATCAATGTGCGCATCAGTCAGTGCCATATATTTAATAAATAAAACATTTCAAATATACATACCATTTAAAAGTATATTTATGTGGTGTAAAAATTAAGATACTAATAGAATATTATTTAATTTGTTGTAACCTTTTTACCATTCTCTATTTTCTCAAATAATGAATTCTAAAAAATGCCAGACGTAGTAAGTCTTAGGTTTTATTTCAGGCTCTGTCAACAGACTCAATAGAAAGACTCCCAGTATATAACAAAGCTGCATGGAAGCATTACAACACAAACCACGAGGCTGATGACTGGTGCGTCCCCAGCAGAGAACCCAAAGACATGACCACCTTCCGCAGTGCCTAGAAACACTTGGGACATCCAGAAAATCCAAATGTGGTTTTTGTATTAAATTTGGAAGGTATGGTGTTCAGAACTATATTATACCAAATACTTCATTTGTCATTTTCACAAAACTATTTGAGTAGAATACGTGGAAACGGAATTCCATTTGTGCCCATTAAGCACAAATATTTACACTTATATTTTCACAGTTAATTGAACATATTTTTAAACAACTATAGTTTTGGTCAACTTCTCGCTTTATGGTAGGCTTCAGAAGTATGGAAATCTTTGGGTTTCTACAGGAAACTAGTTTTTTTTTTAAAGAAATACTTCTCATTTATGTTTTCTAGAAACATTTTTTAAATAATAGTGATTAGCTAGTTAGCGATCTTGTTATTTAGAGGAGTTCTGCCATCTTTTATTCGGTAGTGACAGCTATAATACGGTCTTCATGTTTATCAGCGGCTGACTACAAGTAAAGCAGAAAACAGTCGCCTGTGACAACAGAACCAGCCACCAGCGGTCTATATGCGTTGTCTTAGCTCTAAGGTTAATTTATCATTTTTAAATCTTATTGTAAAGAAGTTTAATGACTAGCTCTCTGTGGATCTATGCCAAAATCTTGGGGTCTGTTCTAAGTGTACTTGTAATTAATGCAACGGGGAATTTTTATACTGAAAACAAACAAACTAGCAGCTACTAAAATACAGAAGAAATTGAGGACAAAGCAGTATGTCTCCAAAACTGAACTGATCACTTGTTGAGGTTACCTTGAAAGCTTTTGGAAAAAAAAATAGTTTTTCTGTGTCCCACTCCAGACGTACTGAATCAGAATCCCTAGGGCTAGAGCCTAGGAATCTCAGTTTTTAAAATGTTTCCTAGGTGAGTCTGATGCCTACCCTGGGTGGGGAACCACTCTTAGAGTGAATAGTGATGACACAGCATTTGCTAAGGTAACAGATCTGTAGGTTTTGGTTTCCATCTACTTAAAGTCAGATTTATAGACTCAAGGAGACAGAAACTGAATCTCACACCTGGTGCAATTAGAAGCATAATTAGAAGCAGAAGAACAAAATGACGGGTAACCAAAGCGTCAGCGCCATAATTGCACGTGTCTCTTTTTTCTTTTTCTTTTTCTTTTCTTTTTTTTTTTTTGAAACAGGGTCTTGCTCTTTTGCTCAGGCTGGAGTGCAGTGGTATGGTAGGGCTCACTGCAGCCTAATCTTCAGGACTCAAGTAATCCTCCCACCTCAGCCTCCCATGTAGCTGGAACTACAGTTGTGCACTACCACACCCAGCTAACTTTTTAATTTTTTGTAGAGATGGGTTCTTAGTATGTTCCCAGGCTAGTGTTGAACTCCTGAGTTCAAGAAATCCTCCTGCCTGGGTCCCCGAAAGTGCTGGGATTACAGGTGTGAGTCACCACACCTGGCCTATTGCACAAGTCTTGACAAACAACATAAATTTTTTGAAAACTATCCAGATTTTGTTATCAGGGAAAAGTCTGCTTAGGTTTATTACAGCAGTCCTTTGCATTCATGTGGTAATTTGTACTTTACAAATACTTTGATATAGTATAACTGTATTTGTCTTTGAAACAAAGTGATACAGCCTAGGCAGTATCATTCTCCTTCTCACTTAGTGTGACACAGAGTTGCTCAGAATTGGAGCAGAGCCTGAACCGGCAGATCCTGTTATCAGCTGGCAAGTCCAGGAGACTGTGTCATTTAGAGACTGTGTTGTTAGTTACACCTCAATATCTTTTAAGGTGGCAGGAAAATACATTGGAAATAACATATTAAAGTAAAAATTCCAAAATTTAAAGAAGAGCTTTTCTATTTAAACTGGGGAGCTTTGTCTGGAAAATACATTGAGTTGAAACAGTTTATCCTTTGAAGGATTACAGATGAACAATTGTGTATAAATGTGTGGATTAGAGGGATGTGAATGGGCAGTTAGTCCAGTGCACCCATTTAAGAGGCCAAGATCCTGACTCAGAGGAGGTGCCATTTGCCCATAGCTTCTTAGCTAATCTGACCAAATGTTGGGAAAAATATCTCACCTAACCCACTATTCCTTAATTATGGATTTTGTGAAAAACAGTAGGACATGTTAATGAGTAATTTATATCAGTTCGATGTATTACAATTTTTCAGCTTTAAATTACACTTTTCTTATAATGATGAAATGTTTTAAAATCTTCTGAATCAAAGTATTTACTTGTTTCCTAAATGAAACATTTTTACATTTGACGTTTTTTACTTATGAAATATTTTTCTCCCCCAAGAAAATTAAAACTTTGTCTATTTAACAGCTGAGAACTGATGTTTTAAAGGAAAAATGAAGTTATTTTTCTTTAGCTTCTTTTTAAAGTGAAACAGCTTTTTACTCTGTTATTGTGGTAATGGACAGAAAATTACATACAAAAATATTCTGGGAGAGCTTTCTTCTCGTTGCGTTTAAATCATTGTGCTACCTGAAAGGTTTTTAGATTTTATAGGAGCTATTTTGTCCACCAGCATTAATGTGGCACAGTGTAGTTATGAAAATATATTGAAGGACAAGAAGTGGACACGAAGTGATTTTTTTAACCTGGGCATTTAATTAATGTGCCAGCGTTTTCTAGGAAGGAACAGCAAGAATGTGCTTCGCTGTAGTTAAAACACTGGCTGGCTTTTGATGTCCGTGCTTAATTGTGGTCACTTTCTTGTACTGCGATGTTTTTATGTGAATATGTTGAAGTGGAAGTTTACCATATTATTTTATAAAATGTTTTCTGTATGGCAATAAACTGAAAACATGGATCAACTCTTATTTTGAAAATAAACTGAGTCAGTTTGGCCTTTTAAAAATATAATCATCTCTTTTAAATAGAATCCTCTTCCATCACCAAGGCTCAATATTTTGTAAAAATTGGTAGTTAAGGGGCTTGCACTAAATTTCACTATCTTCAGTAGAAGAACTGTTTGGAATTTAGATTTCCAATGTGTATATTCTAATGGAGAAAGCAAGAGGGTAGATTTTGTATGTTTGACTAACCTTAGATTTTTATTATCCATATATATCACAGATGACTTGTTGCATAAATGAAGATCTTCTGTTGTGTGATTTTCAAACACTAAATAAATTTGAAATTTGAATAACCTTCCACAGTATAATTGTTTTTAAAAATTCCTAATTTAACCAGCATTATTACCCTCTGCTTGTACCAGTTGAATGTCAGAACTAAACTCCTGTAGTCAAAGACAAATTATCCTGTCTTATTTCTAACTGATGGGATATAGGTACCACAATTTCCCTTCATTATTGAAGCTAAAAAGTTCTGTAACAGAACTCTAGAGGTAAAGAGCTGGGAAAACTATTAGTTTTATGGTTCCACTGTTGCTCTGTGAATGGCTAATCAGAGGAAGCCAAAAATCAGCCAACCAATTGCAGTTTATGTCTTTAATTGTGATATAAGTGTGAAGTTTCTACATATGGTGGGTAATCAGGGTTGAGTTAGGTAGTTTGCCAGCATGACTTTTGCTGGAGGAACTTTTAATCACGTCTGACTAATTTCTGGCCCCAATAATTAATTTTCTTACAGTCATACCCAATGCATTTTAAAAATAATATAATTAATACCGTGTGAAGAATTTTTTGCATGTTAAAAAAAAGAACACACTAGTTCGCTTAGTTCTGGCATTCATAAACTACTGCGCCTTCTGTTCTATTGACATGTTTGGAAAAAAGAATTGAACATATGTACCACCACCACCCTGCTTTCTAGAGTGCTCACAGTTCTTTAGCAATTACTAACCATAGGTTTTTAATAGCAAAAGACAAGATTGTCAGTTTTTGGTGTAAAACTCTACTCTTTTTGGTTGACTTGGAAAAGCTGTTGTTTATATTGGGAATTGTGACAGCTATCTTTTACTTTGTTAAATTAGCAATTATTTAGCAAAAATATACAGTTTCACCCCACAAAAATAAATCTCCATGTGAGAGTTGTATTCATTCAAGGGTTATTTTTTGAGAATGGAAGTATGCTTTCCACATTCCTCACTGATAATATCAGAAATTTGGTTGTTTTGATTAAAATGTTGCCATCTACTTGTAAGTTAACAAATGTTGAGAAGGTTTTTTTTGGAAACAGTTTATGAGGCCAGAACATTTTAAAATTTGACTCAAATATAAGAAACCACAGTATTCTTGCCATGGTTTTATACTTAGATGTTTCTCATTATGGGATTCAGAATGTAACCGTTATACTACTGTATGAAAATACTTAATATACAGTTCTACAGTTACAGTGTTACATGGAAATACAGTATGGCATGAAATTGTTTGTCTAAAACACTACCCCAAAAATGGAGCTCATATGATTATATAACTATAAAATAGGATGGGAGAGAGAGAGAGAAAAATATTTGTCTGTATTACAATATAAAAACAACTGGTTTAATATGAACTATTTTTTTTCACCTCTTTACTCTCAGTGTCTCCATCATGCCCAGTATGTAGTAAGCACCTGTAATTGTGAAGCAGCCTCGTTATCTGGGGTAAATACCAAGGTTCTTGGTCTCATGACCAAGGACATCGAGGTTGTGGACACACACAATGAGTTTAGAGCAGGAGTTTAATAGGCAAAAGGAAAGAACAGCTCTCTGTTATTGAGATGGTTCCTGAGCAGGTTGCCAAAGTTGTAGTAAAAATGTCAGAGTTTTTATAAATTGGCTAGTGAGGAGGAGGTTCATGAGGCGGGGATGTCTTATCATCCTAGGGCCTGACGAAGGTTTAGTTGGCACCAGGTATGCTATCTGTACAGAGCAGAGGTTTTTACGAACTCTTATCCCCTTCCCTGACCACACAGGCTGACTCTTAGTCTGTATTTCTTTGTCCTGCCTATGTGGGAGGGAAAGTTTCTGTGTCCGTTCCCATATATCATCTTGTAGCTGCAGGCATCCCCCCTAGTCTGTTCTTAGCTTCCCTATCTTAGTGCACCTAAAGGGAAAGGCAGTGCTTATTAAGGCCCTGTTTTACTGGGGCCCATTGTATAAACGTGAAATTTGGTGATTACCCAGGAGACTTACCCACCCGCTTCCCTGCTTCTGTGTCCATGGTGCATTATCTTATGTCTGTGAATGGAAGGCCTCGGTAAAACCTCATTATTAATGTTTTGCATTAATTTAGCAGATGACTGTAGTTATTTAGCATAATCCAATACATGAACGTTCTGTATGGATGACTGCTGAACGGTTTAGTGAAGGAGATTCCGTTTATAATTTGGCTGGATGCTTCTGTCACTACTGATGGGCAATGATATTAACATCAATATCTAAAAAAAATTCTGCTGAGATTTGCATTGTGATGTGTTAGATCTCTAGACCAATTTGAGGAGCATTTAAGAATAATGAGCCTTTCAATTTATGAACATGGTGTATATCTGCTTTGTGTTGCGGGGGAAGAGTCTTGCTCTATCACCCAGGCTGGAGTTCAGTGGCATGATCTCAGTTCACTGCAACCTCCGCCTCCCAGGTTCAAGCAATTCTCCTGCCTCAACCTCCCTAGTAGCTGGTGAGCATCGTCATGTCTGAGTAATTTTTCTATTTTTAGTAGAGATGGGATTTCACCACCTCAAGTAATCCGCCTGCCTTGGCCTCCCAAAGTACTGGGATTTACAGGCGTGAGTCACCTTACCCAGCCAAACATAGTGTGTATCTTAATTTACGTAGTTGCCTTTGATTTCTTTCATTGGTGTTTTGTGGTTTTCAGCTTACAGATCCTGTGCATTATTTTGTTAGACTTAAGCCCAAGTATTTCCTTTTTCTTTTTTTTGATAACTTACAAATTTTTTTTAGAACATTTTCCTTTTCCAATGTTCATTGCTAGTACATTTCACCCTTTGAGTCTCCAGTTCAGAAAAATCATGGCTTCTGGAGTTTTACTGAGGACTAGAGATAGCTAAATAACATAGTTTCACCTTAGTCACTTGGTCTTTGATTTGGTCTCCATAATTGAGTAAATGGCAGTATGTCCAGTGCAACGTCATGCTGCCGTGAACCTGACCTTGTCCTCTCGTCTAGGCCTCACCATTTAGACTACCAGTAGTTTTACTTCGCTGGCCCACTCCAGGGCTGCTTGAGTGTTATTGTTTTGTGCCACAATATGGTGTGGCCAGACTCCTTTTCTAGTTTTGAGATTATTTTGTAGCGTTATGTTAGGTGTGTTGTTACCCAAGTATCATAAGGGGCATTGATTTGTGATGCCCTTTTCTTACTCATCTTTGAAATGGCAGGCAGCAAATGGCTTCTTAAGCAAGTAAAAGGTTCAAGATCTCAGCCTCAGAGATATATTTGTAGATGCCAGGCTTAACATTCCTGAGACTCTCAGAGAAAACTTTCTCCTTTATGGACTCCCCACTTTAAGAAGGAGCCACAGGGCTTGCCCCATTTAGTTACTGACACACCTATATTACTCTCCTTGGCTTCTTACCCCAGCCCATCCATTGGGTTATGTCAGTCTTCTATTCCTAAGTGAGAATCCAGTCAACAGGAGGCACAAGAGATGGAACCAAATACCATAATGCTTCCTTCCATTCCACTGTGAACAGTCAAGGACACTGGAGGCCTCCGGGTAGGACACACTTGTGTTCAGGAGCCTCTGAGCTTAAAGATCTGTGGATGGAGCTAACTAGACTGCCCAGGATTGGTCTACACTGTACTTTTTTTTTTCTTTTGAGAGAGAGTCTTGCTCTGTTGCCCAGGCTGGAGTCAAGTGGCACGATCTCGGCTCACTGCACCCTCCACCTGCTAGGGTCAAGCGATTCTCCTGCCTCAGCCTCCGAGTAGCTGGGACTACAAGTGCCTACTACCATGCCTGGCTAATTTTGTATTCTTAGTTAGAGACAGGGTTTCACCATGTTGACCAGGCTAGTCTCAAACTTCTGAGCGCCAAGTGATCCTCTTGCCTTGGCCTCCCAAAGTGTTGGGTTTGCAGGTATGAACCACGGTACCTGGCCTCTCTATAAATCTTGCGTCAGGGCACTGAGCTCAGGAAAGCTCTGCTGAATGGTTTTCTTTAGATTTTCATTTTCATCTTTGCCCCATTTTTGCTAATATTAATTATTGGAAAATAAATTCACCCGCTTTTCTTCTCTCTGCCCAACATAGGGGCAAGATCTGTGGAAAGACATTTACCACCTGTTCGAAAAGGTCAGCATGCTGATGTTCATTAACTACCACCTCCACAGCTCTCCTTCCTCAAAACCTGGTAGATGCTCTAATTTCTGCAGTCCAGTCACTATTCTTCCCATACTCCATGAGCCAGATTTTATATGTACTTTGTATGACCATAAAACTCTGTACTATTATAGATATGAAACCATTTAATTTTGTGGATAACTCAAACGGTGGCATCACTGGGTCCTCTCTTGGATAACATAGTTCTATGACTAAATGGGTCAATGGAAAATCATCCTTGATGAGAGTATGATGTCTGGGAGAAATATATAGCTAATTTGACAACAAATAACTGCCCTAATTTTGGAGACCTGGGAAGTGTTGCTTAGAGTATAATGATCATAAGCAGACATTGGGTGCTTTAGCAAAGCCAATTTGCCTGCATTCTCTGGAAGGTAAACTGTGCCAAGATCTCCTCTCTCTTAGAACTTAATCAAACACTTGGCATCCACAGAAGGCTAGGGGGTTGCAATGAATACTTACCATTTTTGTGGAAGCCCACAACCTTTTGAATGGCCTTTCTATATTTTAGTGAACCTCCATGTCATAAGCCTCACTTCCTCAAGTCCCTTTGGCTGATGGGAGGCAGACAGTAACTTCGGTTGGCAATTAGAAACATCTGCACTCAGCAACATGAAGCACGAGTTCTGTGCAGCTGCCCATATGCTGGCATGAGTTTTGCCTTTTGTATCATTTGTCTCGTGATTGCCAGGTTAAGTTCCTGATACAGAAGCGGCATCAGTGCTGGTGTTAATGGATGCAGTAAAGTCAAATCCTAGATTTTGGTGCTCTGTGGTAGCAGAGAGAATGGTGTTAGTTTCTTTTTTCTTTCTGTTTTTAAAAACCTTTTTCGTGTTGAAGTTCACATGACCTACAACTAACCATTTTAAAGTGTAATTCAGTGGCAGTCAGTACATCCACAG